AGGAAACAGAACAAAAAGACTACTGAATGGGAGAAGATATTTGCAAATGACCTGTCCAGTAAGGTGTTAGTATCCAAAATGTATAAATAACTTACTTAACTCCACACCCCAAAAATAAATAATCCAATTTAAAAATGGGCAAAAGACATGAACAGGCATTTCTTCAAAGACCATTTCTCTCCAAAGATGGCCAGCAGACACATGAAAAGATGCTGAACATCACTCATTATCAAGGAAATGCAAGTCACAACTACAAGGAGATGTCACCTCACACCTGTCAGAATGGGTAAAGTCAACAACACAGGAAACAAGTGTTGGTGAGGGTGTGGAGAAAAAGGAATCCTCTTGCACTGTTGATAGGAATGCAGACTGATGCACTGTGGAAAAGTGCACTGAATGGAAGTTCCTCAAGAAGTTAAAAATAAAACTATCCCAGGATCCAGCAGTCGCACTGCTGTGTATTTTCCCAGAGAATACAAGTACACTAACTCAAATGGACACATGTAGCCAGTGCCTATTGGGAGCATTATGTACTACATTGGCCAAATTATGGAAACAGCCCAGGTGTCCATAGATTGGCAGATCAAGATGTGATACAATGGAATAGTACTCAGCCATAAAAAATAATGAAATCTTGCCATTTGCAACAACATGGATGGATCCAGAGTATAATGCTAATAAGCAAGTTAAGTCAGTCCAGGACGAGTACCATATGATTTCACTCATGTAGAATTTAAGGAAAAACAAGCAACAGGATAAACGGGATAGGGCAGCGTGGGGGTGGGGTGAGGGTAGGGGGTAGGGGTGACAAACCAAGAAATAGACTTATAACTGTAGAGAACAAACTGATGGTTACCAGAAGGGGGGTGGGGAATGGTTTGAATAGGTGATGGGGTTAAGGAGTACCCTTGTGAGAAGCACCAGGTGATGTATCGGCATGTTGAGTCACTATGTTATACACCTGAAACTGATATTATGTTGTATGTTGACTGGAATTTTAAGATTTACTTACCTTAGAGTGAGTAGGGATGGAGGGGCAGAGAGAAAAGGAGACTCTTAAGCAGATTCCTTAATGAGTGCAGAGCCCGATAAGGAGCTCGACCTCGCAACCCTGAGATCACCACCTGAGCCGAAACCAAGAGTCAGACACCTAACTGACTGCACCACCCAGGTGCCCCTGGAATTTTTTGTTTAAGATTTACATATTTTAGAGACAGCATGCATAGGAGGGAGGGGGAGAGGGAGAGAAAGACTCTGCAAGCCGACTCCACACTGAGCCCAGAGCCAGAAGTGGGGCTCTATTTCACAACTCTGAGATCATGTTCCAGGCCAAAACCAAGAGTCAAATGCTCAACTGAGCCACCCAGGCACCCCATGTTAACTTCAATTTAAATTTAATTTAAATTTAAAAAGTGTCACCACCTGTGTGCCAGTAGGTAGCACAAGATAGAAGGCCAAAGATGGAGTCAGTGTTGTCAGCACTCCTACACTCCACCCCCTATATCTTTATGGCCCGTGTAACATTTGTGTGCCATTCTCTCTCTGACCCTAGAGCCCGATACTGGGAAATGAGTTGCAGCCCTAAGCCACAGCAGCAATATAAACTGCAACAGGAAACGCCCCAGCCACCCAGTAAAGAGGTCCTTTCCTCACCCAGCCATTGGAGGGATTGTGAACTTCAGCATAAGTGGTGGTCCACGACAGGAAGACGTTACCCAATGTAGGAGGAAGGGACATGAATGCAAGCCTAGGGACGATAATACAAATGTCTTACAGACCACAGACATGGCAAATCTTTCTTAAGTAACAACAGGTGGGTGTTCGGTCCTCATTAGCTAATACCCGCGCTGGCTTTTCAACATTCTTCATTTTTGATGACCACTCTAGCTACTTCCTGCTGAAAAGCAGCATAGATAAGATTTGACGGATGAAAGTGCCTTGCATCTAATTGCAGACATTCCCTAGTACCAACTTGAATCCTCAGCCTTCATGGAGCCATTATTTTGGAGCTCTGGTGTATAGACTTAGCATCTTCTTCTGTATTTCATAATGTTGTCAGTTAAGTCAGTTCAGTTAAAGGGTTGTCTCCTTTCAGAAGGCTGTCCTATCAGTGGGCTCTCAAAGTCAGGCCTGTCCTGTGCAGTTCAGTAGAAAATTAGCCAGATCTGCAAGGAAACCAGAGGAATTCAGGATCCAGCCTATTTTTATAGGTAAACAGTCATTCAAGGATGATCAGGACTAGAATGTAGCTCCCATAAAGATGTGTTACGGAAACTTTTTTATTCCCTCTCTAAAATCACTCTGTCAAAGGTAGCCAAGTTAAGAGTTACATGTTTGTGGGGCGCCTGCATGGTTCGGTTCGTTGGGTGTCTGCCTTTGGCTCAGGTCATAATCCCAGGGTCCTGGGACTGAGCCCCACATTGGGTTCCCTGCTTGGCAGGGGACCTGCTTCTCCCTTATCTGTTCCCCCTGGTCATGCTGTCTCTCTGTCAAGTAAATAAAATCTTTAAAAAAAAAAATTTGTTTGTAAAGCAAATCCAGTTTTAACAAACTTAGTCCAATTATTTACATATGTGCAGCAAGAGTAGTGATTGGCTGTATAGGTTCTTTTAAATCCACTTTGCTAAAGCATCTCATAAGGAATTTCAGATTGAGCCTATAACAGTTTTTCAAGGCTAAGAGCCAAGCCAAGTACTTGCCTATGGATACCTGTAGAATTGGATTACTTCCTTCTCAAGGTCCCTAAAATATCCTGAAGTTCTTGAGGCTCCCAGGAAATGACCCTCCTTACTCACCTGGTAGGGCTCCTGGGAGCCTTTGTAAGCAAGGTAAGACTGATTATTTCCACAGGGCTTCTTGGGCTCCATAACATCAACCGTAGTTCCTTCATGCTGTCTGGTCATATTTGAGCCTATGCACGTCTCTCTCAAGACATTCCAGGGGATCCCTGGGTAGCTCAGCGGTTTAGTGCCTGCCTTTGGCCCGGGGTGCAATCCTGGAGTCCCAGGATCGAGTCCCACGTCAGGCTCCCGGCATGGAGCTTCTCCCTCCTCCTGTGTCTCTGCCTCTCTCTCTCTCTTTCTCTCTCTATCATAAATAAATGAATCTTAAAAAAAAAAAATAGGACATTCCAGTCAAACCCTTGGTAATATAACCAGTGTTTCCAATGGTGTCCTGTTCCAAGGAGAACAGAATCTTCTGGGGTTTATTCAAGTAACTTCAGTTGATTTCCCATTTTGTCATTGATGCAAGCTGCAGCCAAACCATTCCGAATATGAAATTCCTTGTAATTCACAACTCATACCTGGCATTAAGGACCCCCCAGGGCCTGTAGTTGTTCTACTAGCTTTTTTTTTTTTTTTTTTTTTTTTTAAAGAAAGCCTCTTGTTGGGGGCGCCTGGCTAGCTCAGTTGGTAAAGCATGTGATTCTTGATCTTGAGGTTGTAAATTCAAGCCCCATGTTGGGTGTAGCGATTACTTAAAAGTAAGAAAAAGAAAAGAATGCCTCTTGTTGGTTAGCAACCCAATTGGCTTCCCTTTTTAACCAAGGCATATAGAGATCCTTTTTTTTTTTTAAGGTTTTTTATTTTTAAGATCTCTACACTCAACATGAGGCTTGAACTTACAGCCCTGAGATCTAGAATCACATGCTCTTCCAACTGAGCCAGCCAGGTGCCCCTTGAAGGTCTTAACATTCGCAGTAGATGGGGAATAAAAGATGTCCAAGCCTGTAATCCCTTCACTGAGAGAATGGGAAGGTTTGTATTTTATCAGTGACCACTTCAGCATTACTTTTGTCTTACTGACTAGATGATGCCCAGGAACTTGACTGAATCAGACCTTGAATCTTGTCGGTATTTCCCTCCCATCCTAGTGACTAAGGACAAGTCAGCACATGTTAACATCGTCTGCATAATGATAAAGCACCGTTGCCTCCAGCAGCATTCATCTAGGGAACCAGCAGCTGTACAGGTTCCCAATTTGTGTGACCCACGAGGAGAGGCTTCACTACTTAGCTACACAAGCTGAATTCACCGGTTGTAGTTAGACCCCGGTCCTGTAGACCCCTCCCAATACACTGAGGAATGGGGGAAATATGCATGAGAAAACACTGGGGAGGAAGCCTGCTGATCTGTAGGTAGAGACCAACTTGTCTGACCTTGATAACTTGACCTTCTCCCCCAAATTTCGAGGGGCTTCCATAGATCAGTGTGTAGTCAGCACATTGTTAGAGCAGGTCCAGTCTGTTAGTGCGAGACCAGTAAATGGTTAATTCAGCCTGGGGCCTCTGGCCGGAGCCTATTGATTGCATGCACTAGGGGACAACACTGGCCTGCCCCTCCTCTCTAGGGATGGGGGTTAGCAGAGGCAGTTGGTTGCTGACACACCTGGCGGTTTTGAACTTCCTTCAAGGGAGTAACTACTTTGCCTTAGGCAATGCCTTCCAGATGCTCAGCAAGACTGAACTGGGTTGTATTTTCTCTTGGGGTCCCAGACAGCAGATCCTGCCACAGTTACTCACAAGCAGCCCAGATGGCCCCCTCTCCACCACTCTGTTGTGGGCAGGAGCCTCTGTTTTTCACCCTATTTCCCTTAGGAGGGATTTTTCAAGTTTTGCTTAAATCACCACGAAGCTACCAGAGAAATGGGCCGATCAAGCATAGCCATGAGGACAGACCCAGGTCCTCCGCCACGGGGGCTGACTGGCAGATCCAGGGCTCCAGCCCAAGGAAGAGAATCGTCCCCCCAGGCCTCTGAATGTTGGACGTAACTGGCATGTTGCATGACCAGTTCATGTGTAATTTCTCGTAGTTCTTTGACAGAGGCCAGGCTGTCTTAAAGCCAGCACTTATCCAGTCAAATTAGCTAAGCGCCTGCGATGCTCACCAGTGCCAGAGGCATGGAATCCTTGTTGCAGGGCAGGTTGAGCAGTGACCAAGGCCTTTTTTTTTGACATAGGAAACCCATGTAACATGGTACTGTCCCCCCAATATCCCACAGTCTAACACCCAAGCTGCCATCCCCCTCACCCTTCTGCTTCCTCCGCCTCTCAGGTAGCATACATGACAACTCCTTGGGCATTTTAACACGTCTCCGCATTCACGCACTGGCCCGAAATGCTCCAGAGACCCGGCCATCTCTCCCCACGTGGCCGTAGTTGGCCACCTTGGGATGTGGGGCCCCCCAGCCGGCCCCTTCCCCCACCCTCCCCAGAGACCACCTGCTCTCCCCCAGCACGGGCCTTGACCCAAGCTTGCTTTGTCTACAGTATCTTGCTGACCACACCAATTGTTAAAAGGTGGAGGAGGGTCACTAACGTATCCTCCAGCCTCAGAAGGGACTTCTTGAAAACCGAAGCCAGCCACTGAGTTTTACGCAGGGTAATTTCCGCGGACAGGACGGCTGTGCAGAGCACTGGGCAGCTGTGCGCCACTGCTGCTCTCTGCGCCTCGCCCCCCACAGCCGTCCAGACCTTAACCCCCCTCCCAGGAGGATGTGGGAGAGGCCCCGGGGTGGTTACCTTCGGGGTGGCCCTGTGCCAGGGGCCGCAGACGGCGTCCGTGTCGTCGGCACTCCTCTGCCGTCTTTCTCCTGTACATTCTTGGCACTGCTGTGTATCTGGCGCCTGTAGCAGAGAGGATACGTTTGGTCACCTTTGTTAAAAGCCTTTGGTCCTCTGGGGACATCATGTGTGTTTCCTCTGTCGAGGCCTTTGTTCTCCTGTCATCAAGCAGTTCCCTCAAAGCTGAAACTCAAGGAAAAAAAACCCTCTGTTTCTAAGTAGACTTGTTTTCCTTGTTTTGTTTTGTTTTTTGCAAGAAAAACTTTCTTAATCCTCTGGTAACCCTAAAACTTTGTTGTTGTTGTTTTTTGCAAGAAAGACTTTCTTACTCCTCTGGTAACCCTAAAACTAAAGTTTACTTTATCATTTCCAAGTTCCTGTTTTTTTCTCTCCAAGTCTCATTTCAAGAGTCTGCTTTTATAAACTGTTTAATAATAACTTTCAGCATTATCCCATTGAGCCAGTGTGCACTGCCGTTTCAGCACCTCTGTCCGCGTGGTCGTTTGTCAGTGTGACAAATGAGATTAGTTATTCAGTGTGGGGGATCCCTGGGTGGCGCAGCGGTTTGGCGCCTGCCTTTGGCCCAGGGCGCGATCCTGGAGACCCGGGATCGAATCCCACATCAGGCTCCCGGTGCATGGAGCCTGCTTCTCCCTCTGCCTATGTCTCTGCCTCTCTCTCTCTCTCTCTGTGACTATCATAAATAAATAAAAATTAAAAAAAAAAGTTATTCAGTGTGGTATCTTGTAAAATGATGGTTTTAAGTAATGGCCCATCTTTATTATGCTAAGTTCTTATAAATGTTGGTGACAGTTCTAACAATCAGAATTCATTTTAGGCTTTCTAAGGTTAAAAATCCAAGTAAATATTATATAGTTTAAAAGATATATACATACCCTCGATAGGTATTCAGCTGGTGTGTGCTGGTGGGGATACACCATGGAAGCACGTCCCTCCCACCGGTAATTAGCGGCTGCCCTGACCCTGAATGCCCTGCCCGCACCCCGAAGCCCGTCCTCCCATCTCTCAAGGTTGATGTCTGGCACAGTGGAGGATCTGCAGAACCTTGGTCCACCACAACACGCTCTACTGACACAAATATTTTGAAAAACATTGTCTTTCCCATCTGAAAAAAAACAAAGCCATTTACAACATGATTCTATTAATACCTTGACTATTGGTAATTGAGATTTTCCCAGAGTATAAGGCAATACAAAGTTGCCCTCTGTTTTCCTTTCTGTTGCTTGTTCTAATTTGAAAAACCAAACCAAACCAAACCCCAGCTTCAGGGCAGTTAGGAAGGGCAGGAGAGGGCTGAGAGGACTGGATGTTCATGGCGGAGGCCGGCCTGGGGGACCCAACCAGGCAGGTCCACCAGCAGAGTGGTGCAGGGGCCGCGGTGCGGAGGGCCTTGTGGGGAACTGGCTCGAGCAGGGGATGTCAGATGTTCTGGGTCTACAGGTACCTGTGGAGATCAGACCAAGCCACTGGCCAGCAGGGCAGGGCTTAGGCTGAAAGCAGGGCACTCAGCCTCGCAGAACTGGGCTCTCGGCCAAGGGTCCAGCACGACAAGGCCACACAGAAGCCAAAAGCTGGCACCAGCACCAGAATCTGCTCCGATACTGCTTCGGAAGAGTGGCTGTCAAGGGCACAAATCCGTGCGCTCCTGTCCCTGGATACCACTGACCGGCTGTAACATTACATTCAACTCCAGTGGGCTTTGACCCTGGTCTCTGCTGGCTCCCGTGATGGGTTCCATGTGACCGCTCCAACCGTGGTTGGCACCTAAGCTTTGACAGCCAGATGGGGAGAAACCATTACATTTCGTATCTCAAAGAGCAAGGCACCTTTTCCCAGAAGCCTTGGGCACGCTTTCCCTCCCATCTCTGTGCCCCAGACTGGGTTGTGTTCCCATCTGGGAACTGAAGTGAGCAGAGCAATGACATCCCCAACTGCATTAGGCCGGGGCTCCTGAACCAGACCCTGGCCAGGGGCCTGGGATCGCAAGGTTGGCAGGACTGGCTTAGGAGTATCAGGTGCCTCCCAAACTGTACCCCCCACTTGCCCCTGCTCCCAGACTGGGGTCACTGCCAGACCACACAGGTGCTACACAGTGGAGGGGACAGGGGAGTGAAGTGGACGGGGGAGAGACAACCCCAATCTCCATAGTGATTCCTCTGCTTGAGCACCCTCTGTGGGGTGGCAGCCAGACCAAGTGCAGAGACTAGACCCTGTTTTCTGCATCCTCCCATGAGCCTGGTAGAGACACAACCGACGTTCAAGAAATGTGGAATGAAAGAAATGCCTCATTAATCACAATTTCAGTGGATTCAGACATCCCTTAATCCGTATCACCACACCCATTGTACATGGTAGGAAACCGAGCCATGCGGAGTGACTAACCAGAGTCACAACAGGGTCTGCCTTTGGCCCAGGTCATGATCCCAGAGTCCTGGGATCAAGTCCCACATCGGCCTCCCCGCAGGGAGCCTGCTTCTCTCTCTCTGCCTGTGTCTCTGCCTCTCATGAATAAATAAATAAAATCCTAAAACACAACAAAACCCCCCGACTCTTGAGCTTCACTCAGTACTTGATCGCAGGGTTGTGAGTTCAAGCCCCATGTCGGGCTCCATGCTGGGTGTGGAGCCTACATAAAAAAAAAAAAAAAAAAAAGTCACAACAAAGTGTATACCTTTTTGTTGGTGAGCCCAAGGCTCTAACTGGCCTAACTTTATGACAGGTATGTCCTGGGCTGGGAGAGGCAAGAGGGGATGAACAAACAGCCCAAGAGGGAGCAAAGGAGGCCCAATGCCCAATCAAATGCAGGTGGAATGACGTGCAGCACTGTGTATGGTACTGCACTGTTTCTAAAGCGCTTTTCAAAGTCTCATAGTCTTACCCTACTTTTACCCTGCCTGTAGCTGAGAAGAACAGATGACAAGCCCATATGTGTCCAAACTGGGATACATAAATTTAGTCCCCGGAATTTTTTGAGAAAGTTTTGGTCCAGTTACTGAAATCAGTGTTAAAAATCTATCGAGTGATAAATAAAGAAGTACCCAGGGTCGGGGCACCGGGGTGGTTCAGTCGGTTAAGGCTTCGGCTCAGGTCACGATCCTGGGGTCCTGGGATTGAGCTCCGCATCAGACTCCCTGCATGGAGCCTGCTTCTCCCTCTGCCTCTGCTGCCCCCCGCCCCCCGCTTGTGTTTTTTCTCTCTCAAATAAATAAAATCTTAAAAAATTAAGTACCCAGTGTCATATTCCTGTCAAAAATGTATTTATACTGAGCCTAACTCCCGCAGCTTACAGGAAATGAAAGAAATCCAGAATATCTGTCACTCTACGAGACACCTGGCTTTGTCCATTCAAAAAGTCAGTGTTGCAGAAAACAAGTTCTAGGTTTAAAGAGATGAAAGGGACCAATAACAGTGCGAGACCCTGACTGGATCTTTGTTTAAAATACCTTAGTTGGGGGCAGCCCGGATGGCTGAGTGGTTTAGTGCCGCCTTCAGTCCAGGGCACTATCCTGGAGACCTGGGGATCGGGTCCCACGTCGGGCTCCCTGCATGGAGCCTGCTTCTCCCTCTGCTTGTGTGTCTGCCTCTCTCTCTCTGTGTCTCTCATGAGTAAATAAATACAGTTTTTATTTTATTTATTTTTTTTTAAAAGAGGTTATTTTTTTATTATTTTTTTGATTTTTTTTATTTATTTATGATAGGCACACCTAAATCAGAGAGAGAGGCAGAGACACAGGCAGAGGGAGAAGCAGGCTCCATGCACCGGGAGCCCGACGTGGGATTCGATCCCGGGTCTCCAGGATCGCGCCCTGGGCCAAAGGCAGGCGCCAAACCACTGCGCCACCCAGGGATCCCTAAATACAGTTTTTAAAATAAATAAAATAAAATACCTTAGTGGGGGGGCGGGGGGTCTTGGGTGGCTCAGCAGTTGAGTGTCTGCCTTTGGCTCAGGGCATGATCCCAGGGTCCTGGGATCGAGTCCCACATCTGGCTCCCCTCGGCCTGCTTCTCCCTCTGCCTACATCTCTGCCTTTCTCTGTGTCTCATGAATAAAAAATAAAATATTAAAAGAAAAAAAAGGCCAATGTAATTGATAGACTTGTGGTATCACTGTAGTGCACTGAAACTAATGTAATATGTGTATCAGTGACACTAGACTGAAAAAAAAAGTGAAGTAGAAACCACACTGAGGGGGTAGCCCGGGTGGCTCAGCGGTTTCGCGGCTGCTTTCACCCTGAGGTGTGATCCTGGGATCGAGTCCCACCTCGGGCTCCCTGCATTGAGCCTGCTTCTCCCTTTGCCTGTATCTTTGCCTCTCTCTCTCTCTCTGTGTGTGTCTCATGAATAATAAAATATTTTTTAAAAATAGAATACAAAATTTATTTACTTATTTACTTATTTATTTATTATTTATTGGGACACCTGGGTGGCTCAGCAGTTGAGCATCTGCCTTCGGCTGGTGTCATGATCCTGCGGTCTCGGGATCAAATTCCGCATCAGGGGCAGCCCCGGTGGCTCAGCGGTTTAAGCGCCTGCCTTCGGCCCAGGGTGTGATCCTGGAGACTGAGATCGAGTCTGACGTCAGGCTCCCTCCATGGAGCCTGCTTCTCCTTCTACCTGTGTCTCTGCCTCTCTCTCTCTCTCTCTCTCTCTCCTCTGTCTATCATGAATAAATAAATAAATAATTTTTTTAAAAAAATATTTTTATTAATGAGAGAGAGAGGCAGGCTCCATGCAGGGAGCCCAATGTTGGGACTCAATCTGGGGTCTCCAGGATCGTGCCCTGGGCCGAAGGCAGGCGCTAAACCGCTGAGCCACCCAGGGATCCCCAATAAATAAAAATTAAAAAAAAAAAAAAACACACTGAGCTAGCCCTGCACACACCGATGAGAACGGCCACCCAGAAGACTGGCAACGTCAGGGTAGGAAGGTGTGGAGCAGCGGGAACTCTTGTGGTGTGCTGGTGTGGGGATTACAGGACGGTAGGCAAAACCTACCTCCAAAGGCTTAGATTCCCACATTCATAGTAGCTGGATTCACAACGGCCCAAACCTGGAGATGACTGTTAGATCGCCAACTGGGGCAAAGCTAAACTGGGCTACACCACAGGCAGGCAGCTCGGCTCCGAGCAGCAAGCCGACAAGTGGCAGCAGGCACAAGGACGATGTACGAGGCGCCCCGGCACATGAAATCCTAGAACAAGCTAAACTTACCTAGAGGGGCACCTGGGGTGGCTCAATCAGTTAAGCTTCTGCCTTCAGCTCAGGTCATGATCCCAGGGTCCTGGGATCAAGCCCCACGTCAGGCTCCCTGCTCAGTGGAGAGTCTGCTGCTTCTACCATCACCTTGCTTGTGTTCTCTTTCTCTCTCAAAAAATTAAATCTTAAAAAAATAAAATACAATAAACTTACCTATAGAGACAGAACACAGATTTACCTGGGGCTGGAGGTCAGAGAGGATCAGCTGCAAAGGGACAGCAGGGAACTTTCTGGGGCTTGGGGAACATGTCCCATATCGTGTGTGGCCCTGATGACACACATAACTACATTTGTCAGAAGGTCCTCTTGAGACAGGTGCATTTTCCTTTGGGTAAATTATATCTCAATAAAGTGCATTTAAAATATATTTTACGTGGGATCTCTGGATGGCTCAGCGGTTGAGTGTCTGCCTTCGGCTCAGGTCATGATCCCAGGGTCCTGGGATCGAGTCCCACGTCGGGCTCCCTGCAGGGAGCCTGCTTCTCCCTCTGCCTGTGTCTCTGCCTTTTTATGTGTCTCTCATGAATAAATCTTTAAAAAAAAATAAAATATATTTACTTTTTTTTTTTTTTCTCTTCTGTGGGCTCTTTTAGACAGGGTTTCTCAAAATGTGGTTTCTGGGCCCTCTGCATCAGCATCACCAGGAAAGCTGGTAAAAATCAGCAGCTCAGGCCTGGGTGGAGGAGTCATGTGCACCTGCCGCAGGCGGCTCCTGCACCACGGGAGGGACCTGCCGGTGCCACCAGCCAGTGCTGACAGTGCCATGGTGACGTGTGTATGTCACACGCGAGCAGCGGGCAGTCCCGTGGGGGGGGAGGAGAGACTAGAGCAATTACTCAGAGGAATTCTGTGCAGACCAACCCGCTTTGTAGCTTCCCCAGCTCCTGCTTCGTAGAAAGGGCAAGATGCCCCTTGGCGAAGGGGGTGTGCACAGGCTGTGAGAAGGGGCAGCCCAGGCTTACCTTGAAGCCTGCAATTCTCAAGCTGGGCTGCGCATCGGAATCTTGTGGACCTTTTAAAAAGTCTAATCCTTTTTTTATTTTTTTTAAGATTTTATTTATTTGACAGGGAGAGAGAGAGAGAGAGAGCCAACAAGCAGGGGGAGCAGCAGAGGGAGAGGGAGAAGCAGGCTCCCTGCTGAGCAGGGCTCGATCCCAGGACCCCAGGATCCTGCCCCAACCTGAAGGCAGATGCTCAACTGCTGCACCACCCAGGCGCCCCTTAATTCCTCTTTTAATCCTAGTAGCACATAAATACGGGTTCTTAAACACACGCGCATGTGGCTTTAGTAATACTAGTGTACACAGGATTAAACAAGTTTGGTCCCTCAGTAATCTAACTCCTGCTCCTTGGAGACACTGAGGATTTTTATTTTTTTATTTTTATTTATTTATTAAGATTTTTATTCATTCATGAGAGACACGCACACAGAGAGGCAGAGACATAGGCAGAAGGAGAAGCAGGCTCCCTGCAGGGAGCCCGACGTGGGACTCGATCCGGGTCTCCAGGGTCAGGCCCGGGGCTGAAGGTGGCGCTAAACCGCAGGGCCACCCGGGCTGCCCGGTTTCCCTGTTTCTAAATAACATGCTGGCACTGCTGTTTCTTGCCCGGCCCCCCCAGGACAGGGCTGGGGGCTTCCCAGGGCCGCGCATCGGAAGTTCCCGGCTCTTCCCCTTCCTCGCCACGTGGTGCTGACCAACTCTGGGCTTCGGGGTGCACCAGCCGCCTCACCGCGGCCACCCGTGTCTTTCTACCTGCACAGGTGCTCCCCAGGGTCCCTGGCCCAGCCGGACACGGCCGGAGGGCTCCTGCGGGTAGAGGGGCCGCTGTCCCGCTTGCCGCGCCTGGGCTCGGCCCGTCCTACCGGCGGAGCGCCGCGCGGGGTGCCGGGCGCCCAGGCCAGGTGCGGGGTGCAGCCCGGGGCCGGTCGCCGGGAGGGGCCGCGGGGTGAAAGCAGCCCTCCGGGCCACCCCGCGGCCACCCCATCTGGCCTGGGGGCCCCGCCTGTGGGCAGAAGAGCTGCCTCCAGCGTCCCACGCTTTTTTTTTTTTTTTTAAGATTTTATTTATTCATGAGAGACACAGGCAGAGGGAGAAGCAGGCCTCGACCCCGGGGCTCCAGGCTCAGGCCCTAAACCGGGGGGCCCCCTGGATCCCCACCTCCCACGCTTCTGATTTCCTTTGTTGCTGCAGCTCCCTGGGCTTCCCCTGCCTGGGCAGGGCCCCCCTCCGCATCTTCCCAGCCTCCAGCCTCAGCGGCTCAGAAGCCCCCAGCACCGCCCTCTCCCCCCGGGGGGGCACCTCGCATTTGCTGTCCCCCGGACACTGCTGGGATGTTGTCGCTGCCGGCCCAGGCGAAGCCTCACTCCCTGTGATCGTGACAGCCAGGGGGCAGCACCCGTGGGTGCTGGGGTCTCCTGGGCCCCTGAGGCCAGGGGCTTGCATGGGTGACTAAGCAGGTGAGGCAGAGGATAGGAAACGGCCACTTTAATGAGGGAGAAACATCGGCTCAAAATGCTAAAAAACCATCCCCGGGTAACTCAACAAATCCGCCTCAGAAGCTGGACACTGAGCTCGGGGCCTGGAAAGCCACCTTGCCCTTGGATGTGACCTGCCCGCGTCAGGACCGGCCCCCCCGCCACTCAGGAAGGGCCCCGCGGGCGCCGAGCAGGGAGACCTGGAAGCCTGGGTCCAGCAAGAGGCCGCCCCAGCCGGCCAGCTGGCTGCCCCCGGGCGCCGGCCCCCAGGTCACTTGGCCCCCTTGGCACAGACCCATGGTCTTGGCGAGGCGCAGTCCAGGGCCACGAGCTTGCCCTCCTCCAGGCCTCCGCACTGGGGATCCAGCCGGTCCTCATCGTCCTCCGGGAGTCTGCGAGGGTAAGAAGAGGGGACGGGGCTCAGGATGACAGAGCCTGCTAGCAGCGTGGATGCTGCACGGGGCTAGGGGAGTTTGGAGAGGGCTCTGGGGCAGGGGTAGCGGTCACGAGGATGCCTATAGCTCAAGGGCACCACCCAACGCCTCTGTGCAGCTCCCCTTATCTATGGAGCAGGGTGACAATCCTGCTTGGGTGGACACTCTGTGCCCAAACAAGGGATGGGGTGACCGAGACTAAACGAAACTAAGGCCCCAAGCCAGGTGGGGTGAGAAGGGTAGGCTGTCTCCCAAGAGGTACCCGAGGCTGGTGGGGGAACACATGGAGGATCACATCAACAGTGGGGCAGGTGTCCGCAGAGGGAAAGGCCTCCATCCCTTCTTTGGCATCTGCTGTGATGTCAATCTGGTCATACCAGAGCCCGAGGGGCCACCCACCCAAGCCCACTGTCACTCACAGCTGGGGCGATACTGGGGCCCCGTCGATCCAGTGCCAGCCGTGGCGGCCTCGCCGGGCTCCCACCCAGGAGTGCTTGCTGACTGGGTATCTGCTCAGGAAGTCCTGAAGGAGAAAAGCAGCTGGTCACCCCTCCTCCCACCTGGGGCTGTGTTGTCTCCCTCTCTGCCCTGCGTCCAGCAAGTTCTCAGCTCACACGCCAGGGAACTGCCTGCGCTCAACCCAGCTCTCCCAGCACACCGGGAATTGGAAAGCCGTATCGGCTGCTTGCTGGGTGCCAGACACGATGCTCGGGCCTGGGGACCGGGGGTGATCCCATCTCAGCCTCGAGGGAGACAGCTTGTTAACACCAGTCCCCACCGAGCAGCGTGTGATGGGTACTGCGTGGACAGAGACGAGGGGAGAAAGCGCACCGGGTAAGCCGATAGCCAACAGCCTGCCTGTGCCGGAGGCGAGGGGCAGGGCTGCAGACTTGGCCTGAGCAGAGGGTCAGCAGTGCACTCGCCAGTTACAGCACAATATTAGGCCTTTTATTTATTTTTTTAAAGATTTTATTTATTCACGAGAGACAAAGAGGCAGAGACACAGGCAGAGGGAGAAGCAGGCTCCATGCAGGAAGCCCGAGGCAGAACTCGACCCCAGGACCCTGGGATCACGCCCTGGGCCAAAGGCAGATGCTCAACCACTGAGCCACCCAGGTGCCCAATATTAGACCATTAAAAAAAAAAAAAAAAAAGACAAGTATGGAGACCGTGGAGCAGTAAGAGGAACATTATGGCACATAAAGGGTTACAGCGAATAAAAACGCTGAACCAGAGTTGTGGCATGATTACAGTGACGACAAAATGTGCTCGCACAAGAATACGGACACACAAGGCACAAAAACCAAAAAGTATGTTAGAGAGCTGCTAGAGATGACCTTTCTCTTAAATATTTGTCCTTGACATCATCTTGTTTTTAGCAACAAGTTAAAGCAGAAAACGGTATTTAAAAATGTTTAACTTGTAAAAAGATGAGTTGTGGGGCAGCGAAGCTGGGGTAGTTCCAGACCGTGACTTGCTGCCACAGCACAGGAGCCCTAACATCCTGGCTACCACTTGGACGAGTGATGCTGCTTTGGAGAATAAACCCAAGAACATAAAGGGGAGAAAATGAACTTACCCCAAGATAACACGGTGTTATCTAGAAAGAAAAAATGGAAACCACCCAAATGCTCAGGCCTCGAACTAACTGGGCAAATTACAAGATAGCAACACGACGGGAAGTCACATTGCTGATAAAGACGCCAAGCGGCATGTCGGTGAGGATGCAGAGAGAGGGGAACCCTCGTGCACTGTGGGTGGGAATGCAAGCTGGTGCGGCCGCCCTGGAAAACAGTGTGGAGGGGCCTCACGGAGTTAGAAATAGAGCTACCCTATGAGCCAGCAATGGCACTCCTGGGTATTTACCCCAAAGATACAGATGCAGTGAAATGCTGGGACACCTGCACCCCAGTGTTTATAGCAGCAATGTCCACTGTAGCCAACTATGGAAAGAGCCCAGATGTCCATTGACAGATGAAAAGATAAAGATGTGGTCTGTTGGTCTGTATATACAATGGAATATTACTCAGCCATTCAAAAAAAAAAAAAAAAAGAAATCTTGCCATTTACAATGACGTGGATGGAACCAGAGGGCATTATGCGCTAAGCGAAATAAGTCAGTTAAAGACAATTATCATATGATTTCACTTCCATGTGGAAGTTAAGAAACAAAACAGGATCACAGGGGAAGAGAGGAAGAAATAAAACCAAGATGAAACCAGAGAGGGAGGGATCCCTGGGTGGCGCAGCGGTTTGGCGCCTGTCTTTGGCCCAGGGCGCGATCCTGGAGACCCAGGATCGAATCCCATGTCGGGCTCCCGGTGCATGGAGCCTGCTTCTCCCTCTGCCTATGTCTCTGTCTCTCTCTCTCTCTCTGTCTGTGTGACTATCATAAATAAAAAAAAAAAAAAAAAAAAAAAGAAACCAGAGAGGGAGACAAACTGTAAGAGACTCTTAATCATAGGAAACAGAGTTGCTTGGGGGGTGGGGGGGTGGGGTGGGGGTGGATGGGGTAACTGGGTGATGGGCATTAAGGAGGGCACGTGATGTGATGAGCACTGGGTGTTATGTGCAACTGATGAATCACTGAACTCCACCTCTGAAACCAGTAATACATTATATGTTAATTGAATTTAAATTTAAAATTTTTTTAAAAAGGTTTAAACAAAAGATTCCAAGTAACGTAGAAAATATAAGAAAGTGTAAATAGATAATTACACTGAGTGAAGAAAAACGATCACACCAGCAAGTACACGTTGCTCACAACATCCAGAAGCCTCTATTCATGAGAAAATTAGAAGTACGCCGGCCTAAGGGAGTTCAATGCACGCCCAGCTTTTCCCTAGAAAGCTGAGAAAGCCAAACCTCTAATATCTGTCCCTGGTTATCAGAAAGGAAGCATGAGTAATGACGGTCCCCTTGGTGCCACTCCTCGCCGTCCCTCGGGTCTCCGTGCCAAGGTCCCTTCCTGCGGGGACACAGTGCTGAGCTGTCTAGGGTAAGCTCCCCCCGCACCCCCGGGGCCGTGGCCGCCCTTGGGAGCTTGTGCACGAAGCCCACGGCCTGTCCCTCTCCCGCGTGGGGCAGTGACCGAGGTGAAGCTGGGGCGTCCTGTGCACCGCGGCGGTGACAGCCCTTTGCACAGCCAGCCAGTATCCCGCAGCGGCCCCCGGCTCTGCGCCAGGACCCAGTGAGCGCTCAGGCCAAGTGCAGGTCCCGTGTCCCGTCCTCAAGGGGCCACCAGCCAGGGAGCAGCAGAGGGAGACCCAGGAACCTTGGGCCGGGGGGCTGCTGAGCTCACTCCTTCCCAAAGGCTGGAGGGCAGGTCGAGCGCAGAGGCAGGGCCCCCGCGAGCAGGGCTGTGCAGGGGGCCTAGGGGAGGCCGAGGGCCGGCAGCGGCAGGGTGGGCCAGCCCTGGGCAGGGGCTGCAGCAGAGCCGGGCGCCTGCCAGCAGCACCCTCCGCCTGGGAGCCCTGCTGCCTGTGCGGGAAGGCAGAGCAGGGTCCGGGGCTTCTCCCTGGCCGGGCCACCCCGTATTCAAACCCCGGGTCTGGGCGGCCTTAGGCCAGCACCCAGGCTTTCCTCCAAGACAGGGCATGTCGGCTAGGAGGCCTGAGAGGGTGTGTAGAAAGCCAAGGGCCTGTGGTCCACGCTCAGTAGTGGGCGCCCTCCGCTCTGGGCCGGGGGCTGTGCACACACAGACGTACCCGGCCTTGCCAAGGGCTCCTGCCCTCCAGCCGTCTGTCCATCCTGACCCCAGGCCGCCTGGCTGTCCCCCCCACCTCCAGGCCCACTGACGGGAGGCATGGCCTGTCCCTGCCCACTCGCTCCTTCCACCCTCTTTCCTCCGACTCCATGGACTTACTCTCACGGCTGGCAGAAATGACGGCGTGAGAAAAGCATCATCCAGAGACCTAAATTCTAGAAATCTGTGAGTCATTTAGGGTTCCAAGAACTGCTCTGTCGTGATGCCACTGATGTCCCAGGCCATGAGAAGAATGTACTTAAAATCTCAAGTGGAGGGAAATTATCTGCTCTGCCTTCAAACATTTCTTTTTTAAAAATTGTGGTAAAAAAAAAAATTGTGGTAAAATACCTATCATGGAATTCAGCACTTTAACCATTCTTAGGGGTACGGGTTGGTGGCATCAGGGCCAGCCACACTGTTGTGCGCCCATCACTGCCACTGCCTCCAGAACCCTTCCATCTGCTCAGACAGAAACCTCATGTGCACCCACCACTCCTGCGACCCCCGAGCATCCCTGCTTTCTGCCTTCATACGCTTCTACCTTAATATTTAAATGCCCCAGTTAATTTTCTTAATCCTATGATGAGCATTTCTTCGTGTTTTTTCCACCTTTCTGCAGTCGACATGTGTGGCTTCCAGTGTATGACACTTACGGTGGCTTCTTGCTCCCTGCACCCTTGAAAACACAGCTGTTCTGGAACCAGTGGAGGGAGTCTGATGACATGGACAGCACTTAAAGGTTCTCGCTTTCTCTAACCCTGAGCAAAACCAGCTCTTGGGGGGAATGAGACCTGCTCCTCTGATGGCTGTGAGTACCACTGACACTGTGGTTTGTCCCTGGGAGTGTGTGTCCCAGCTCCCTCGGCCAGCCTGTCCTAGGCTGCTCCTCCCCACCCCCACCCCAGTGCCTCCTGGAGTGTCTGGCTCTCTTCCAGAGCTTGGAAGGATTCCAGAGCTCTACAGTCATCCTACTCCAGATTTTAACTGCCCAGGACTCAAATCTTCACCTTGCTCTTTTTGCAAGGAGCTTACCCAGAGTTTTCTATATACTTACTTAAGTTCCAAATAATTGATCCTGTAATGCTTAGTTTTAAAGGAATTCTTCATCTCAAGCTTGCAGTTTGGATAGTTTAAGCCCATCACCCCCTTGGAGGACCCACCAGCTCACAGGGAGGTTTTTGCTCCGAGGGCTGAGGTCGTTCTGGACTGAACCTGTGTACTTAGAGGCTAGAGGGCACAGACAGGCTTTCTGAGGACACTTGCTGTTCTCAGTGGGTCCCCGCCAGGTTCGGCACCTCCCCAGCTGTCTAGGGACCCACCTCCCTTCCCATTCCCACTGGCTTACACTTTGCAGATGCAATCAGGGGCCTGGTAAGGTTCCCCAGCCCTGCCCATTCTTATCTGGCAAACATATGAACTTGGGGCCCTAGCAAAACCCTATATACTGATCTTCCTCAGGCTACCGTCCCCCTGGCATTTCCTCCCAATTATACACAGCACACATTTACAGAACGTTTAGCACATTAAAAGAAATTAAAAGAAAAAAATCACTCATAATCGTGGCCCCAGTGGTAACCAGGATTAGAATAATTAATATACATATTTCCTTTCCATGTGTTTTCTTTGCCTGTGTATTTTTACCATACTGAAATTGCAGATTTGATGTTTTTCAATCTACATCATAACTTTTTCATTTCCCCATGTTTTCTGAAACATAAGTGCTATTCCTGGTAATAAAATAAGCCACTGTAAAGATTTTCTCCAGCACAGTTTTATATCCACCACCAGGGAACTCTCCCAGAAAGAAAAAGGCAGGAACCCCCTTCCCTACTGTACGGTGTAGAATAGCTTTGGGGTCAGGACTGAGCAAGAGCAGTCCAAGAAAACAGATATGAGAAATCCTAAGTAAAATATTAACAAGTCAAATCCAGAAGTACTGGGGGAATAAAAAAATCATGGCTCGGTTAACTATTACAGGAGGCCTAGAATAAAAAAAAAATCAATGTAATTCACATAAAAAGGAGTAAACAAAAAGGTATTCTCAATAGACACACAAAAAAGCATCCAATGAAATTAAACTTATTCGTATTTAAAACTCTTAATAAAATAGTAATAGAAAGGAATTTTTTTTTAAGATTTTATGTATTTACTCATGAGAGACACACAGAGAGAGAGAGAGGCAGAGACACAGGCAGAGGGAGAAGCAGGCTCCATGCAGGGAGCCCGACGCAGGACTCAATCCCGGGACTCCAGGATCACACCCTGGGCCAAAGGTGGCGCTAAACCGCTGAGCCACCTGGGCTGCCCAGGAGTTTCTTTAAATGATCACAGAGGGGAAAATAAAAGACAAGAATGGGAGAAGATGACAGCATATGAGTAATGTCAACAAAACTTTGGTAGCCAGACAACTGTAATCTGCTGAGCAGACCCAAGAAAGCTCGGTGGTTTTTCAAGGAAAAGGTAGAGAGGAAGCCAAGAAAGATGCCAGTTGGAATTGCAATGCCCCCAAATGCTCACATATTAGAGGAAACAGGTCCTTTTGGAGGTCAAGGTATAGGGAAAGGGCCTGGAAAGACAGCTCTGGTTAAAAGTCTATAAAGGAGTAATTAAATCCTCTCTGCTCCCCCTGCCCACAAAATCCACTCACGCCTCCCATACAGCCAGGGCACAGTAAACTTTGAGAGAAACCATAGGGTGCTGGGGAATCCAGAGCACCAGGTTTGGCTGAGGGTTAGAGGTACTCACACTAAAAAGGGGGAGGAATTAAGTGCTTCCTCCTTACAACTGAAATCTTGGCCCTCTTTCCCCACGGCTCCTGGAATGCTGTCATCTTAGCATCACTTAAAAAAAAAAAAAAAACAGCCCCAGTGATTCCTCCATTGCAAAGCCTGCCTCTAAGAAAGCCCAATGCATCCCCTCACCTCCACCTGGACACCCCCGACATAGAGCTTCCAATCTGTTCTTTAGTGTCTTCCTCTTGATTATGACAGCTAAGGATCATCAGATATTTTAGGAAATTTTCTAACATGAAAAGACAAAAAAATCCCACCCCACAACAACCCAATACATAGAATGAAAGGTAACTGCAGAAAAAACAGACATAATACAGAACGAATACAGAATGAATACAGAAATACAGAACGAATTTCAAAAACAAAGTTAGATATAAGTACTGTCTATAAGGAGATGAGAGAGGATATCACATCCTTGAATCGAACAGGGCACCAGAAACAAGGAACATCTGAAGAACCCAGAAGACTTCTCAAAATTACAAACAACGCAGAAGAAAAGGAAAAGGACTGACAAAGGGATATGACTGTTCAATATCAGAACAGAGGGGGAACAGAAGTGAAGGCCCTAAATGTGGGGGTGGGGGGCTGAGGAGGGAAAGGTCACATACAAAGGATCGGGGGATCAGACTTATTAAATGGTAAGATTGAACGATGGAAAGTAATGGAGCGAATCCGGCACAATTCTTGGGGAAAACTATTTCCACCCCATAATTCTATACCCAGCCAAGCTATCAGTCAAAAGAGCCTAGAATAAGAGTATCTTCAGATATGACAGGTCTCAAGAAATTTACCAGGCATGCACTTTTTTTCTAGGAAACTTACAGTGTATGTGCTCCACCAAGAAAAGGCTATAAACCAAGAAAAAGTCTTAAGGTGTAGGAAATGGGCATCCCACACAGGAAAGAGGCAAAAACATACCAAGGATGGAGACGAGATTCCAAGCCGACAGCTGTGTAGAAGGCCTAGTTAGAAACCAGTCCTGACTGGAGCCAAGAAAGGAGCACTCCAGGAGGCTGTCTGGCCAGCTACCTGACATGTTTTCTGTGGGTTTTCTTGTTAATTTTAGGTCCAGGCTGCCTGGCCCACCTTGACCTTCAGGTCACATCTTCCTGTCATGTGCCCTGAGCACCACATACCTCTCCACAGGACAGATCAATATCATGATTGAACACCTATTTCTATGATTTCTTTATTTTTCTCTTTCTCTTTCTCTCTTTCTCTTTCTTTCTTTCTTTCTGACTTGATTCTTTGTCTGACAGAGAAAGAGAAAGCGCACAAGCACGAGGAGAGGCAGAAGGGGGCTCGATCCCACGACCCTGAGATCATGACCTGATCATGAACCAAAGGCAGATGCTTCACCGACTGAGCCCCTCAGCCAGGTGCCCCTCTCTGGTTTCTTGCTTAACGTCTGCCTCACTCACTGCTCTGTGAGCCGTGTGAGGTGTAGGCTGGGGGATCTGGATCATCGCTGAATCCCCAGCGCCAAGCACGGCATAGGTGCTCGATAACTATTTATGGAACCACTGACTGAGGGATCATTCCCTGTTTACTGTGTGGCCACAGGCTGGGTGGGAGCATCCCTGCTCCCATCTGCCCAGCTCCACCTCTACTGCTTAGAATGAAGAGGAAATTGAAGACCTTGGAGCCCTGATGTCCCGTCTTCCTGCATGTTGCTTTGTTTCCCCAGGCCTGGGTGATTTTTTCTGTAATGCGGAGTTGGACTAGATCTTAGCTAGGCATCTGTGCTCTATACCGATACCTCCATCCTCCCCCTGCCCACTGCCCCCTCCTCACCTGGGTGTGGCTCAGCAGCGGGAGGGTAGCATGGTGAGTCGAGCAGAAAGCCTGGCTGGCCTCCCAGGCCTGAGCTTCGGTGGAGAGGTAGTAGCAGTGCTCCTCGGACCACATCCAGCCCTGGGGGCACGGCTGGCACCTGGCCCCTGCAAGCACACAGACCACTCTGAAGAGCCGAACGTATGCATGTTGAAAAAAAAAATCAAAATCTGACTACCGTATTGAGTGAGGGGGCAAATCTGGAGCATGGGGCTGGCAAGCCACGGGATGGCAAGCAGGGTGGGCAGGGCCCTGGGCAGGCTGTAGAGCCTGTGCAGTGCACCAAGGCCCCTGCCCCCCGGGGAGGCGGCTGTCAACCCCTGCTTGTCAGGGCACTGGGCCATGTCCGGGGGAGACAGGAGCTCTCTCTCCTTCTCTTTGCTCACCGAGCCCCATGTCTTCATGTTACATCTGCCCAGTGGGGATGTCTTTTTCTAATTGTCACCAAGCTGCTATAAGGACTAGATGCCCTGGTGGTAGACAGAGGACAGGAGAGGAGGCACCATACCTGCTCTAGAAGCCAGAGCCACAATGGCGACTGCGGACACGGCCAGAAACACAGCCATGACCGCCAGGGCCCAGCGCAGGGACTTCATGTACACAGGCAGCCCTGGGGTAGGGGACAACCAGGAGAGACAGGTTAGAGGGAGCCAGGCGCAACCACACCCAACTCAGAACCATGGTGGCCCATACACCAGCACCCCTCCACACCCAGCCCAAGACACCACGAAAATCTACTCAATTCAGGCTAGACCTTCCTATTTGGGAGAAGAATGCTAGGAGATACTCAGCTTTTCAAATAACCAGAAGACCTGGGAGTCTGTTTCGAGAGAAAGAACAAACGATTGGGTGACAACCATCTGCTGAGCACTTGACATGCAGCAGACACAAGGAACAAACACCACCCAGGACAGGGCAAGGCCTCTGAACTCAAAACGGTGCCAGGAGATGAAGTTCCAAACAAGAGAGGATTGCAGGTCCAGTTTAAACTTCCACAGACCTGGGTTCAAGTCTTGACTCGATGGGGGCCTCCCCACACACGTTTTGGTGTTTGTCCATTTTTTTTAAAAAAAGATTTTATTAATTTATTCATGAGAGACAGAGAGTGATTGAGAGAGAGACAGGCAGAGGGAGAAGCAGGCTCCATGCAGGGAGCCCGATGTGGGACTCGATCCCAGGTCTCCAGGATTGGGCCCTGGGCTGAAGGTGGCGCTAAACCGCTGAGCCACCTGGGCTGCCCTGGTGTTTGCCCGTTTTGACAGTGCAATCACCTGCCTCTTCTATCTCTCCAGATCACGGGGGAGCACTGTACATAGGTATCTGGCCGGGCGGGCTTTGCAGGTGGCAGAGCAGTAGACAGATGGCAGTCACTAGCCGCTCAAGGGCCCGGGGACCAGAGAGCTGGAATGAGGCTGCAGAGAGAAAAGGATCTCCAGAGACAGACAGGAGGAAAGGTGCCCGCGAAGGCTCCGAGAGAGAACATACTCGAATGCCAGATGCTGCTCTGGTGACGGAGTGAGGAACCAGGAAGGCCAGAGGCGAGAACAAGGAGAAGAAAACACAGTAAATGGTTAATCCCGGCCATCGGCAGTTCTAAGCAGCTATCCACCCGGAAACATCTAAGGGAACCGAGCGCTCCTGAATTTGATCTCTGCCAGGACACAGAAGCATGAAATCAATTAATGCAAGAGGAAGTCTATTTATTTACTTTTTTAAAAAAAGAATTTAAATTTATTTGAGAGAGAGAGAGAGAGCACAGCACAAGCAGGGGGAGCGGCAGGCAGAGAAAGGGAGAAGCAGGCTCCCTGCTGAGCAGGGATTTTTTTTTCCCCCCATGCAGGGCTCAATCCCAGGGCCCCAGGATCTTGACCTGGCCGAAGGCAGATGCTTAACTGACAGCCACCCAGGCGCCCCGAGGCCTCTCTTTAAATTCAGGTTCAATTTAAATTTCCCAGACACTTGGCTGCCAGGGCATGTAGGACCCACATCTCAGGGATGAAGGCTGAGTATGCCACATATCCAGCGGAAGGGTCCCTAGAACTCAATCATCATAGTTTTGCCAAAGCCTGAAACAGCAGAAGTTACTTCTCCAGCAAACACTTTATTATTTTGAAAAGACTAATTCCATTCTTAAAACCACATGCATATTCATATATACCTTCACATGAATACATACAACACACACATCAAGAGAGCTGGGACACATTTCCAAGGTTTTTCATAAAACATGTTTTCAATCAGAACTCAACTTTCAAAGCATAGGCACTTCTGAAGTCCCTGATTTCCCATTTTCATTAGAAAAAAACACTTGCTTCAAAGACTGAACAGGGAAGTGTGTTATGCTGCTAGATGAAGAGTCACATTCCATCTGTGACCTTTTGGAGTTTTTTTTTTTTTTAATACATAATTGGTTTCTTTTTCTTTCTTTCTTTTTTTAAGATTTTATTTATTTATGAGACACAGAGAGAGAGGCAGAGACACAGGCAGAGGGAGAAGCAGGTTCCACGCAGGGAGCCTGGTGTGGGACTCGATCTCCGGTCTCCAGGATCAGGCCCTGGGCTGAAGGCAGGCGCTAGACCGCTGCGCCACCCAGGGATCCCGATAATCGGTTTCTTAAAGGGATTTGACCAAATCTTCATCAACTGATACATGGATAAACAAAATGTGGTATATCCATCAGAATATTCAGCCATAAGAGGTAGGAAGTGCTGGTACATGTTGAAACGTGGCTGAACACTGAGAACTTTAGGCCTAAAAGGAGGCCTAAAGAAGCCTGTCACAAAAGGACACACATTATAGGAGTCTATGGAGGTGTTCAGAATAGGCCAACCCACGGGGACAGGAAGTGCACAGATGGGTTGCCTGTGAGAGGTTGGGGGGTCGATGGCTAAAAGGTACAGCATTTCTTTTCAGTTGTTGAAAACACACTGAACCCGACTGTGGGGATGATTGTGCACCTCTGTGTCTGTACTGATGACCCCTGGATGCTACACTAGGAGGGGGTGCATTGTACCGTTATATGAATTACAACTCGATCGAGCTGCTACCAAAAAAAAGGGGATTTGAAATTGCTTGGAGTAAAAGATACAGGGAGGCCCAGGTGGCTCAGTGGTTAAGCGCCTGCCTTCAGCCCAGGGAGTGATCCCGGAGTCTGGGGATCGAGTCCCACATCGGGCTCCCTGCATGGAGCCTGCTTCTCCTTCTCCCTCTGCCTGGGTCTCTGTCTCTCTGTGTCTCTAATGAATTAAAAAAAAAAAGCATTAAAATAAATAAATAGGGATCCCTGGGTGGCACAGCGGTTTGGTGCCTGCCTTTGGCCCAGGGCGCGATCCTGGAGACCCGGGATCGAATCCCACGTCGGGCTCCCGGTGCATGGAGCCTGCTTCTCCCTCTGCCTGTGTCTCTGCCTCTCTCTCTCTCTCTCTCTCTCTCTCTCTCTCTGTCTGTGACTATCATAAATAAAAATAAAAATTTAAAAAAAAATAAAAAAATAAAATAAAATAAATAAATAAAAGATACATAGAAGTTGAGAGTCTTAAAATAAAAGCAGAACTAAAAGGCCTGGAGAAGAAAAGGAAAACAAATCTACTCATCACCTCGGTCAGTAGAATTACCGTGACCCGACACTGAACTCAGCCCTGGCCTTTCAGAAAAGAATGGATAAAAGAAATACAGTGGGTTAGGCAGCCCCACACACCTCGCCAACCTCCAGGCAGAGGAAGCCCCGCCTGCCCCCTTGAAAAAGCAAGTCCGAATTTCACAGGGAGGCCAAGACATTCTCCTTACATAAGCATGACAATACAGAGAAAGCTCGAGGTCCCCCCCCCCTTCCAATTCTGGACCCTCTTACTCTCCGTGGCTGCGAACACACCCGGTCCCACACGGGAAGAATAACACATATTCCCTATTCTCTCCAGCACCCTCCCTTCGGCCCCACTCTGGCTTCCACTCAATTTCCTTCCCAAATCGTGGAATGACATCCCTGATGTTACACCCTGTTGACTCTCCGGCTGCCAGGCCATCTTAAAATTTGCCACATTTTCTACCCGTGGCTGCAACACTACTTCCTCTTAGTCAAATCCGGTGGCCCAGGGTGGAACCAGGTTTTGTAGGACTTAAAGGCTATTCAATGTGAGGGGAGGCATCTTAAAAAAAAAAAAATAATGGAAACTTCCAAATACAAAGCTTGGCACGGATGGACTCAGAGGGCTCGTGCCAGTGAGGGTCTGCTCTCGTGCCATCGCCTCCAGGGCAGTCTACCACAAACCCCCTGCTCCTCCAGCTGGACCGGACCATGCCGGGCAACACCCTCCCATTTGGGTTTGGGTCCCATTTCCCCCATGCACCCAGCACTGAGCACATGCTTCCTGCCCAATCCCACCAAGATTCTAACTACCTCTGGAGTTCCTAGGCCGCCCCACTTTCTCCGAAAGACACCTCCTCCCCGAGCCTCTGTTCTCCCTCTCAGCTCCAGAGTCCTCCCTGCCCATAGCCCTCCTGGCTCAATCCCAGGCTGACCTGTCCTTGGGCTGTTTTAGTCCTAGGCGGTTGAATTTATTTTTTATTTATTTTTTATTTTTTAAAGATTTTATTTATTCATGAGAGACAGAGAGAGAGAAGCAGAGACACAGGCAGAGGGAGAAGCAGGCAGGCTCCATGCAGGGAGCCCAATGTGGGACTCGATCCCGGGACCCCAGGATCACGCCCTGGGCCGAAGGATGCGCTAAACCACTGAGCCACCCAGGGATCCCCGAAATTTTTTTTAAAGATTTTATTTATTTATTCATGAGAGACACACAGAGAGGGGCAGAGACACAGGCAGAGGAAGAAGCAGGCTCCATGTAAGGATCCTGATGTGGGACTCGATCCCAGGAATCTGGAATCATATCCTGAGCCACCCAGGTGTCCCCTAGGCAGTTGAATTAATCGGACATGGAGCTGTAGATTCATTGTGAAGAATCATGTTCTCCCCCCAAAGACACCATGTCTTAAACCCCGTAATCTATGAGTAAGTTAGGTTACGTGGCAAAGGGGACTTAAGGTTCTGGTTGGAGTTAGGTTGCTTATCAGAGATTTTTCCTGGATCTTCTGGGTAGGCCTCACAGGACCACAAGGGTCCTTATAAACAGAAGAGGGAGGCAGAAGAGGAGAGCCAGAGAGGGCAGGAGAAGGAATCAGCCAAACATTGCGGACTTTGAATATTCTGAGAGGCATGAACTATGGAATGCAGAGTCTTCCAGCTACAAAAGGCAAGGAAACAGAATCTCCCCCCAGAGCCCCCAGGAAGGAACACAGTGCTGCTGCCAACTTGGCTTTACACCCGTGAGCCCACATCAGCCTTCTGACCTACAGAAATGTGAGATGATAAATCTGCGTTGTTTAAAACTACGAAGTTTGTGGCAATTTGTTACGGCGGCGATAGAAAACACATCACCAGGGCGCCTGGGTGGCTCAGTGGGGTGAGCCTGCGACTCTTAGTTTTGGCTCAGGTCAGGATCTCAGGGAGGTGAGGTGGAGCCCCATGGGGGGCTCCACACTGGGCGTTCAGCCTAAGATTCTCTCTCCTTTTCCCTCTGCCTCTCTCTAGTCTTTAAAAATAAAAGGACACTATACCATCATTCAGAAAATGCGCTCACATCAAACCCTGCAAAAGCCCAAGTGATTCGTGTCCGCGAACGCCACACAAGACTAAGACACAGCAGAGACCCTGGGCTTTGCGGCCTGTCTGGCCTGGTCCTCCCCTCACCTGGCCCAGCTTCTGGCACTCTGTGTCCTGGCCTCTGTTCCCGAGGTTTCCAGGTAGAAGTGGCCTCCGCCACCCCTGAATCCCACTCATTTTCCACGCTTACTCCGAGAAGGCTGCCCATGGCTCCAAGTCCACCCACCGCTCCCTCCTGGCTCCTTGTCCAGGACTCCTTACATCTTTTCCAGTCTCTTTTTCTGTCTCTTTGTTTTTTTAAGGGGGGGGAGGCAGAGGGAGAAAGAATCCTAAGCAGGCTCCACGCCCAGCAGAGAGCTGGGGAGGGGCTCGATCTCACGACCCTGAGCTCATGACCTGAGCTGAAGTCAAGAGTCGAGGCAGAACCAAGTGAGCCCCCGGGCGCCCCTCCGGCCTCCTGGTTCCCCCAGCGCCCCCCTCCTCTGGTCCCCTCCACGCCACACCGCCCCCAGCAGCCTGGGCCCGAGCCCCCGCGCAGCAGCTAGTGAATCGGGGAGTGTTTGGGGCCAAAGGCTCCTCAACAGCCGTGGGGGAAAGACGGAGCCGGGGTCTGCGAGAGGGCCGGGAGTCCGGGGCCCGGGTTCGCGCCCGGCCCCTGGAAACCTCCCCCCTCCCGCTCCACCGAGCACGCACACTCCGAGGGGAGGTGAGAGTCCTCGCGGGGGCGGGGGGGGGGGGCGCGGTGGAAAGAGATTTTAGCTGTTCATCGCCACGACGCAGTGCGGGCGGTGCGGGCCAGGCGGACCCCAGGTAGCGGGGCGGGGCGCCGGGGGCCGCCGGGGGGGCGGGGCGCCGGGGGGGCACGGGGGGGCGCAGGGGGGCGGGGCGTCCGGGGCCGCCGGGGGGGCGGGGCGCAGGGGGGCCGTCGGGGGGCCGTGGCGCGGGGGGGGGGCCGTCGGGGGGCGGTGCGGGGCGCCGGGGGCCGTCGGGGGGCGGTGCGGGGCGCCGGGGGCCGTCGGGGGGGGCCGTCGGGGGGGGCCGTCGGGGGGGCGGGGCGCCGGGGGGCCGTCGGGGGGGCGGGGCGCCGGGGGGCCGTCGGGGGGGGGCCGTCGGGGGGCCGTGGCGCGGGGGGGGGGCCGTCGGGGGGACGGGGCGTCGGGGGCCGCGGGGGGGGGGGGGGGCGGGGCGCGCTTACCTACGAGCTCCACCGCCCGGGGCAGCTTCTCGTCGGCGCCCGGCAGCAGCGCGGCGTCCTCCTTGCCGCGCGGCCCCGGCTCCCGGCAGCGGCCGCGGCCCGGGGGGGCGCCCGGGGGCTCGGCGTCGGGGCCGCGCTCGGGCCGGGCCGGCGGCCACTGCAGGAGCGGGTGCGCGGGGCAGGCGCGGCGCGGGCGGGCGGGGGACTCGGGCACCGGCACGGTGAGGAAGCGCGTGGACGGCGCGGGCGAGGGCGCGCGGCTGCCCCCCGCCGCGCCCACGGACTTCACGCGCACGTCCACCTGCAGCTCCACCGGGGCCCAGGCGCCCGGCGGCTCCCCCGGCACCGGCTGGGGCCCCGGCGCCTCGCCCGCCCGGGAATGCTCGGCCGCGGCGGGGCCGGGCGACGGCGGCTCGGAGCCCGCGGACGCCTGGCGGCGGAAGGCGCCGTAGCCCAGGCCGGGGGGCGGGAGCCGCAGGCGCGCGGGACGCGGCGACGGCACCTGCTTCCCGCCGGAGAGGTCCTGGGCCGCACCCGCCGCCTGCCTTGCGGCCCGGGCCGGACTCGGGCTGCTCTCGGGACTCTCGGGCCGTCGCTCCTCCGCGGGGACCTGCGGCGGCTCCGGCCCGGGCACCTGGCGCCCCAGGGGCTCCATTGGGAACGCGGCCCCGGCTCGGTCTCCTCCGGCAGCCGCCTGGGCCCGCTCCATCCGGCGAGCGGAGCGGCCGAGAGACGCCGAGCGAGCGCACCTGAGCCCCGGAGCGAGTCAATTTCTCCTCCCGGGTCGGAATTGGTCCCGTCGGGTCGTCAAGTTCCCAGGCCACGCCCCCCGCCCCCCCGCCCACCCCAGGGCCCCCGCTGCGACGGGCTGGGCGGGGCCTGCTGGCCACGCCCCCCGCTTCTCCCCGCCCACCCCCAGGGCCCCCGCTGCGACGGGCTGGGCGGGGCCTGCTGGCCACGCCCCCTCGGGTCCCGGAGCCGCCTGCACCTGGCCGCGGGAGCGAGGGCCGCAGGGCCGTCTCCTGTCGGGGGGCACAGAACGGGAATTGGAGGCGTGAGGGCGAACCCAGAGCCCCGCCTGACTCCTTCCTCTTCTTTTGGCCCCGGTCCCACGGCCCTCTGCCATTTTGTTGATTTTGAGGGTTATAGCCTGAGAGCTGTTGGCCAAGTCGGTAACAGATCCTGGGACCTAAAAAAAAAAAAAAAAAAAGAATCAGCGGGTCCAAAAGAAATCGGGCGGCCTGAGGACAAGCAGCAGAGCTGGTTGTCCTGACCGTGTAGTGCAGAAGAGGCACCACCGCGGAGAGGCCTTCCCCACCCACAGAAGCTCTAGGGACAGCCACTCTTGGAGGCATGACTCCTATTACCCTCATTAAAAACTCATTTTTAATGAGTTAGGGTAGTAGGGATAAATAAGCATGAAGATGTATTTTCACAGGGAGAGGAGCCTGGTCGCCAGTCAGCCTGCTGTGGTGCAGGACAGGGTTCCCAAGCCTGCCTAGTGACCTGAATACCATTTAAAAGTACACATACTCCTGGTAGGGCTTCACCTGGACTTACTGCATCTCATAAGGGGATGAGGCCAGTGGTATTTTTAACAAGCACCCTAAGGTCGGATTGACAACAACAGAAGACACTCTGTTAACTCTGAATTCCAGAAACACAATACTTTTTAGTATATCCCAAGCACTGTGTGTACTTCTATTTAAAAACTATTCATTGGGATCCCTGCGTGGCTCAGCGGTTTAGCGCCTGTGTTCAGCCCAGGGCGTAATCCTGGAGACCCCGGATCAAGTCCCACATCAGGCTCCCTACATGGAATCCTCTCTGCTTCTCCCTCTGCCTCTGTCTCTGTGTCTCTCATGAATAAATAAAATCTTTTAAAAAATTATTATCTGAACTTAAAATTTACTCTGCCATCTATTAAGATATTTATTTTAGAGAGACAGAGAGTGGAGGAGGGGCAGAAAGAGGGAGAGAGAGAAGAGAGAGAGAGAGAGAGAGAAGCAGACTCCCTGCTGAGCACAGAGCCCAAGGACATGAGGCTCCACCTCATGACCCAGAGATCATGAGCTGAGCTGAAATCAAGTCAGACACTTACCTGATTGAACCACCCAGGTGCCCCTGGCATCCTATATTTTTATTTGCTAAATCTGACAACCTTACCCCGGGGACTTCTATTGGATTGGTTTTAGGAGCAGCATTTGTTAAAACCATGGACTTGTTACTCCTAGGGGAGAAGGAAGGAAGGAAGGACTGGGAGTTGGAATACTAGGAAAGGATGGCCCCCCTGAAGACAAGTAATTGCGAGAAAAAGTCCAGTGGAAAAAAAGTACTCTATGAAAATATGTTTCATCCCTTCAGAAATCTGGACTATATATTTAATGTGGGGACATATCCATGCATGAAAATACATTTTAAAGGTGTGAAATGATATGCATCAAAGTGATAATCGTGGATTCTGCTGCAGATTGTTTGGGGGGTTGGCAGAGGAGATAGTGTAGATTTTAATCTTATCAGTAATGTTTCCACTTTCTAGAAAGAGAATGTATTTATGTGTATTCTTAAATAAAAATCCAGTTTTAAAAAGATGGCATATTATAAGTTTTTTAGAGCTGATAAATATTATTGTAAAAATTAAAATAATTCACAAGTATATAAAGTATAAAAAATAAAGGAAAGCCCCTACTCTCCTTTTTACCTCTCAGAGGTAGTCACTGTCCAAGCTGAGATTGGCTGCTTGTCTATTTATCGTGTGACCTGGAGCTAGGGGAGGAGCACCCTGACTTGCCTTCCTCCTGGGATAATGATTATCAAATAGTTTATAACATCAAGGATCTCTAACCTTCCAGGTGTTTGGACTCATAGTCAGTGAGGAAAACACAGTGTGCTTAAAATTTAGACATGCTATTGTGACCTTGTGGGGGGATACCCCAGAGCCTGGCTCCCCTGGCCACAGCTCACTGAACTGGGCTGGGCTCCTGACTCAGAGGCGCCCAAGGGCATCTACATTCCATCTTGAATTTGGACCACGGTTGGCACTGGCATCAAACAGCACTGGAAGTGAAGTCAACACTGGCAGCAAGAAGTGGGAGCAGAAGCTACGGTGGACTCAAAATGTGGCCCTGCCCAGTCTTTCGAACCTGTTTTCAGGATCCTGTCTCCTCTCGTGTGCAGGCACACTTTCATTTCACAAATATTTACTGAGCAGGGTCCCTGGCCTGTGGGTACACAGCTTGGGCACACTCTGGTGAGCTGGCACAATGATGATCTCCCCTTTAGTCTCTCCCTTTCTACAGCTTCTTTCCCATTGTCAGTAAACACGAGCAGGTTGTAAATGCCTCCTTGGTCCCTATCTCCTCCAGCTAACACTTATTTCTTCCTTGCACACCCAACATACTTTAACACTCACTTTCTCCACTCCATCATATCCCAAGCCCTCCTTACACCACTGCAGCATTTCTGCCCTGGCGAGTCCACCCACATGTTCCCTGTGAAGGGCACCACACATCACCAAATCCAGCGGATTTCTTCAGAAGCCACACGTCTGTGGCTCTCCTAACACTGCACTCTGCTGGTTTCCCATCTGCTCCCAGAGGCTTCTCACTCTCCAGGAGGTCACTGACTCTCCTCCAGCTCTCCCTGCAGCCCAGATCTTTCTCTGGACCTGAACCATAACAGTTATGTATGGGTTGAGTTTTGTCTCTCCACCCTGCCCTGCCCCAAATTCATATGTTAAAGTCTTAATCCCCCAAGCTTCAGAATGTGACTTTGAAATTAGGGCAGTGACTATGATGATGGGGTCCTCCCAGAGTAGGCTGGTTCCGTAATCCATTATGACGGGTGTCCTTATAAAAAGGGCATATTGGGACACACACACAGGGAGCACGCTGTGAGAACATGAAGGTGGAGGTCAGGGCAATGTGTCTACCAGCCAGGGAAGGCCAAAGATACTGGCAAGCCCCCAAAGACAGGAGACAGGCCCAGGACAGATTCTCTTCCCGCAGACCTCAGAAGGAACCAACCCTGCCTGCGCCCTGACCTTGGACTTCCTGCCTCCAGAGCTGTGAGATAACACACTTGTGTTGTTTAAGCGGCTCAGTCTGTGTCACCGTGTTACTGCAGGCAGCCACAGCAAACAAGTCACCCGTCCACATGGCTGCCTGCCCTGGACGGATGCAGGTGGTCTCTGCGCCCCCACTGCACCCCCACCCTGTGGCCGACACAGCCAGGCCAATCAGACTGTCCCTCGAAGGAATTTTGGCACTTGATCTAAGAGACCCAGGGCGGGGAGCTGTCAAAACTCCAGTAGGGCCACTCCCTGGGGAGAGGACCCGCAAACCCCTCCTCAGGTCCCTGGAGTTTCCCTGGTTTCAGCCCTTCCTAGAGCCTGTCGTCCACAGGTGTGGATTCCAAGAGCCCCTGGACTATCTTCCCCCTACCTCCCTTCTTTACCTCAAGTTAGGACATCATTGGCCACTCCCGACTGCAAGTGGCAGAAAGCCCAAATTCAACCACCGGCTGCCTTGGGCTTGGTGGGGGTCCCTGGGGAGAGGGCCCAGCTTTGCAGGTGCTGTCGTCAGAAGGCCACTGACAACTTTGGTGGGAGGCCCTAAGGCAGATGAATTCTCCAACTGTTTCAAGTTGGGGTCAGATCCTGGCTGCCCCCAGAGGAGAACCACTGTCTGCTGTCGTCATCCTCCCTTCCATCCTTCTCTCCCACGTCAAAAGCCTTTTTTTTTTTCTGCTTATAACAGCAATACATGCTTGTGATACAAAATTTAAATATTACAGAAATACATGCTATGGAAAGTGATTTCATGCCCCAGACATCTCTGTTATTAATATTTCAATATAGAGTCTTCCGGATTTTTTCTATGCCTATCTTACCTATGTCATTATTATATATACATATATTTTATTTCCAAAACTTTACTCATATTAAATCCATACGCATACATCATGTATTCAAGCAGTCTCCTGCCGGCGGACATTTGGACAGGCAGTCCTGTTTCTGCAAAATCACTGCAAAAGCTACAGTTATAATTCAGTGCCATCCCTGTGCCTTGTTTTTAAAAATCCAACTGATGACATCTTCAGGACAGCTTCATCAAAATGGAACTGCTGAGCCCAAGTGTGGTCAAAATTCCCCAAATTCTATATAGGAAACTAAAGGAACCACAGATGAGGGGCTGTTCCCCAAAGCCCCACCCCCACCCCAGCACTGGATATTATCAATTTTCTTTTCTTTTTTAAGATTATTTATTTATTTATTTATTTATTTATTTATTTATTTATTTATTCATGAGAGACACAGAATGAGAGGCAGAGACACAGGCAGAGGGAGAAGCAGGCTCCCTGCAGGGAGCCCGATGCAAGACTCCCAGGACCCCAGGATCACCCCCTGAGCCAAAGGCAGCCGCTCAACCACTGAGCCACCCAGGCGCTCTGATATGATTTTTCTCAGTCTTTAGCAATCTGCTGGGTGAAAATACAAAATTTGCATTTCTTTAGTTATGAAGTTGACCACACCTCCATTTGTTAAACGTGTTACCGAGAAGTGTCTTTACCAGTCTCATGGTCTGTGTAAAGGGCCACTGAGACTGCCTCTGGGGCCAGTTCCAGATCATGGGCGGCTTCCAGGAAGTGGCTCCGCAGGCACCCTGTCACTCCTTCCTGCCCTTACACCATGGAGTTCACTGGGCCAGGGACAGTGATGGTATCTGACTTGTCTGAACAGACCCAAGAGTTATAAAAGCATAAACTAAAGCATGGCTGGTT